AAATGAGGACCCGGTTTGTGGAGGCAATAAGCTGACTTTGTATAAAAAAAGATCACCGCTTAGAGGGGGGCCCGAAAGCCCTACTAAGCAGGTATATACAAAAGTATGAAGGCTATTGCTTAACGCATTGTAAGCCGCCCTGAGTCTCCGGAAAAGGGCAGCATATAAATCCAACCAATCAATCAATCAATCAATCAATCAATCAATCAATCAATCAATCAATAAATAAGGTGCTAAACTGGAAAATTAGTTATAAAAAGGAACTAATTTCTGGATACAATCTTCTGCAGACCTAATAGTCTGTTTTCACTACTCTTCCAGAAAGAAGAATGTCAGGGTTCCAAGTAATACACCCATAGCAAACAGAACCCCGAGGCAGTTAGATTCCTCAAAGAATGATTTTATTGGATATATCATATTGGCACAATCTGGTGAAAACCGACTCTGAACGTTCCCGTGGTTTTCACCTAATTAAAAGTTTTTCCCCTTTCTCAATCAGTCAGTCACATGGTCCAATCAAGGTGCCGTCCGGTTGCCTGGTAACCTCACTCCTCCTCTCGGCGGCCACCTGTGGGAACGTCCTTGGTTCCCAGGAGAAAGTATTTTGTTTTGGCTACAGAACCCCAGCTATTTCTATTGCCCCCTCCCTATCCCTCAGTTCCAGTGTGGCAGCACTGAAGCTTCACAATGGCTTCAGTCAGGTCAGATTCAGGGTTGACAAAAGTCAAGAGAAAACTGCTTCTGAAGATAGATCCTTGCTGAGTATTGCTTCTTGAGAATTTTGTTGTTCTGGATGAGACGCTATTGGACACCAACAACAGTACCAAGAACAGTCATTGGATCAACCTGAATGGAGGTGGTTGAGAGAAAGTAGCAACAGGCCTCTGTGCCTAAGGAAAAATCCAGAAAACCAACTGTTGGATGGCACCCACATTTTATATTTCTCTTTGCTACCATTTCCCAATTTCCCAGATATTTGCAGCCCTAAGAAAGTTAAGAAGCTAAATTTTGTTGCAAATTGAAAAAGGAGCCGGAACCTAACTGCAAGGACCATCTGCTCTGCATACTTAACCAATTAATAATTGTAATAGCAAATATTTTGGTTGGTTTTGAAAAGGAGTCTTTTTTTTAATGAAAAGCACAAGGGTTGAGAGCTGCCATACATGTATCTGACATTTGTTTATGGTGTTATTTAATCTTCTGGGCTGTGTAGGTTTGGTGCTGCTCGTTTTGTGGTTATTTATTTATTTATTTATTGCTTGCTTGCTTGCTTGCTTGCTTGCTTGCGATTTATATGCCGCCTTTCTCCCTAGGGACTCAAGGCGGCTTACAAAATGACAACTTCAATACAAATCACAATACAATACCAAATTAAAATCAGTAACCCAATTAAAAAAACGATTTAAAATTATACCAGTGTACCCCCAAACGGATCAGTTTAATTGGCGGAAGAGCCACGTCTTCAGCTCGCGACGGAAGGAAAGAAGGTCGCGGGCTGTCCTGAGCTCAGTGGGCAATCCATTCCAGAGGGTCGGGGCTCCCACAGAGAACGCCCTCCCCCTGGGGGTCGTCAGCCGACATTGTTTGGCCGACGGTACCCTGAGGAGGCCGACTCTGTGAGAGCGCACAGGACGATGGGAGAACGGCTGGAGATGGTCCTGTAAGTACCCCAGGCCTAAGCTATGTTGTTGAGAACCAACCTAGAACTAAGGAGAAATTTCCTGACGGTGAGAACAATTAAATCAGTGGAACAACTTGCCTCAAGTAATTGTGGGTGCTTCACCACTGGAAGTTTTCAAGAAGACATTGGATAGCCATTTGTCCAGAATGGTATAGGGTCTCCTGCCATGGGCAGTGGTTGGACTAAAACAAGGGCCTTACAATCCTATTATCCTATGTTCTAGGACAGGGGTGTCAAACTCAAGGCCCGTGGGCCGTATCTGGCCCACTGGGTGCTTAGATCTGGCTTACGGGGCTGCCTTGGAAACAACGAAGGACCGGCCAGTGGTGCCTCAGCCAGTGAAAAAAAGAGCTCAGGAGGACCGCATGGGCTGCAGGAGGCCGCCAGAGCCGAAAATGGAGCCGAGGGCTGTGTGTGGCCCTCCCAAGCTGTTTTTGCTGGCAGAAGGTTGCAGGAGGATCCCCTTTAGCCCCATCCGGGCCACCACAGGTGCCCAACATGAGTGATGTCGAGCTGGCCACACACCCCCTGGCCACGCCCCCCCACAACCCTGATGTGGCCCTCAGAGTTTGACACCCCTGTTCTAAGAAGAGTCAAAGACAGAAAGACAGTCCAGAGAACAATTGGGAAAGTTAGCCAGAGTTAAGTACTTGTGCTTTCATATTGAAGTGTACAGGCTTTTTAATTCAGTGATGACAGTCTGTTTCCTTTCATTCTCACTGGTCAGGGGTCATCAATCTTGCCAAAGGAGAGAGCCTGAATCGCAGAGAAGCACAAACAATTCATCACAGTGGAGGCAATTGTCAGATTAAATAGTATTAACCCAGCCAAGATTCGGCATGCAATTGGAAGACGGTAGCAGAACGAAGCTCAATTGTATGTCTATTTTCCCCGAACAGAACTGTCCAAGATCATTCCCTTGTTGGACGATTTTGTCTCTGAAAACAGACGTTTGGGTTTTCAGGAGAGAAGTCCGGGTATAACTTGGTTCAGAGATTCTGCTTATTTATTCAAGTTTTTTAAGACAGAATAGCTCTATGTTGAGTGGAAACAGAGAAATTAGAGATTCTCAAATTCGTGGGCAAAACAGTTTTGCCTCACAAGTCTCTCCCTCATATATTAGTAAATGGAGAAGACATTTTAGCCAAAGGCACACTCTACATCAGATTAAATTAACAGGGCACTTAAAATGCATTCCTGAACACCAAACACCCCAACTTGGAAGTCTCTTTGGAGACTCTCTAAATTCCCTGTATGTCTTATCTAATTCTATTTTGTTTTCAAAGTGTTTTTCATTCAAAACTAAACACGGAAAACATGTAAATGTCTGCAGCTAACCAACAACTTCATTACCGAGCATTTATTTGAGGTATATCCCAGCTTTGGCTGTGAAAGTTGGACTATTAAGAAAGGCTGAGCGCCAAAGAATTGAGGCCTTTGAACTCTGGTGCTGGAGAAGACTCCTGCAAGTCCCTTGGACTGCAAGGCTATCAAACAAGTCAGTCCTAGAGGAGATCAACCCTGACTGCTCTTTAGAAGGCCAGATCCTGAAGATGAAACTCAAATACTTTGGCCACCTAATGAGAAGGAAGGACTCACTGGAGAAGAGCCTGATGCTGGGAACGATGGAGGGCAAAAGAAGAAGGGGACGACAGAGAACGAGGTGGCTGGATGGAATCACTGAAGCAGTTGGCGTGAGTTTAAATGGACTCCAGAGGATGGTGGAGGACAGGAAGGCCTGGAGGAACGTTGTCCATGGGGTTGCGATGGGTTGGACACGACTTCGCAACTAACAACAAACCCAGCTTTATTTTCAAGGCAACGTACAGGTTTTCCTACACCAAGTTTCTGTTTTTGTGAGTTGGCCTGACAGTGTCAGCTTTCATGCCTAAGGAAGACTAAAACTTCAATCTCCTAGTTAGTCCAATACTTTAAGCAATGAACCAAACTGGCTGTCATGATCGTCTGCTCTATGTATAATGAAGAGGTATTTCGGGGGGAGGGGGGGATGCTGTTGGTTACAGCCCAGTCAAACGTTGCCTAAGAAGAAAGTAGTTGGAAAGCTGCATAGGGTGATAGACAGCAATCTCATCAGTTTGCCTTCTGATAACTGGGTGTTTTTGTCCTTCACAAACATCCTTCGAAGGGCCAGATTAGTTCACTTCGGAAGAAAATGGAAGCATTCAGATTTATAGCAGGTGGCAGAACTAAGCGACCTTGGCTGATGTTGAAAACCTAAGCAACTGAAACCCAGGAATGAAGGCTGGGCTACAGCATAGACTGGAAAGTTGAAAAAAAAAAAAATTATCGGAAGGCCGAATTTTCAGATGATTTGTTATTGTTAAAACACAAGTCTACACGTGCCCATAAAAATCACCGGGATTTGAGGCTGACTTGAGACTTTATGATAGCAGAAGGCATCACCTAGCCAGACTTAACTTTATCTTTAAAAAAAAAAAAAAACTAATTAAGCAAGGTGAATATTGAAACATGGTTTCTATTTGAATAGACCTTTAAAAAAAAAAAAAAAAAAAACAGCCTGCTCATTTGGTGTACAGGAATGCATTTTTTAAAGTGCCCTAGTAATTTAATTTTCCATTGCTAAGCAGAGCGGTTGTTAAGCGACTTGTGCCCATTTTATGACCTTTTTTGCCACAGCTGTTAAAACAAATCACTGCTTCCCCCCACTGACTCTGCTCGTCAGAAGCCGGCTGGTAAGGTTACAAATGGTGATCACATGACCCAGGTGTGAGTTCTACTTACCTTTACTACCGGTTCACAACGGGGCCGCGCGCACATGCGCAGAAGCATCCTGATGACGTCAGGGTCAATGGGTGGAGCCTCCTGCCGGTTTTACTACCGGTTCTTGCGAACCGGTCCGAACCGGGGGCAACCCACCACTGACATGACCCCAAGACAGTGTAACTGTCACACATAGATGCCAGTTGCCCAGCACCAGAATTTTATTCATGTGACCATGGGGAATTCTGCAATGGTAATGTTCGTAAGTCACTTCTTTCAGTGCCGCTGTAACTTTGATTGGTCACTAAAGAAATGATTATAAGTCGAGGACTACCCGTAGTTGTTTTTCAATGAAGTACGTTAATACTGGCCTTTATTCTGGATTTTTTTAAAAAATCTCATTTTTATTTTGAAGTCTTGCCTTGGGATCCTTTTTTAATGGAAAGTGGTAACTGCAATATTTTAATATATAAAATTCTGGTTTTATTTGAACAGAAAAATACATGATTTACATCGTGCGCTCCAACTTTGCCAACAGCCCGTTGCAGTAAATGACATTCAGAACCGTAAACCGTAGTTGCATTTGCTTTCTTTTATTAGAAAAAATACTCCAGCAAAGTCTACAATCATCTGTCAATTATGAATGGCATACAAGAGATTCATGAAACAATAAGATTTAAAAAAAATACAAATACAAACTATATCGGAAAACACCTATTTGGCAATGTTATGCTTCTTAAAGAAAAGGAACTCAAGCAATTACAGATGACCATTTATTGAAGATAAAGCAGTAACGGAAGTGCTTAAGCAAAATTAAAAAGAAAAGATGAAACAAACGGCATCTGTTTTAAATAGTTAACATTGCCACAGATCTTTATGAAATACCATTGTCAAACAACTACAGTATTCCAGAACCATTCCATGTCAGCAGTGCTTCTAAATCTGCACAATAATAAAATTTAAATGTTTGTGAAAACATTTTAAATCCACCAGGAACCAAACAAGCATTTTACCTTCATTAAGGCAGCTCTCCTTATACAATTCGAAAAAAATAAAATAAAATAAAAAAACCTCCAACTTCTATCTCCCAAAACTTTAGACTTTAATTTATTTGCTGTTTAATTAAAAACAAGAGAGTGTAAAAAAAAAAAAGTCGCTGTAGTAATGCAAAAAATAATAAAATAAAATAAAATAAAAAATAAAGAAAAAATCCTCCTAAACAGGAAGGGTTAATCATGCAGTTTGACTGCATATAGCCACCTTATTAAGTCATTTATTTTACATTTGTTCCTTCCAACAAGCAAGGAAAAGATCGATTTCATATCCATGTTCAGCAGTGAGGTGCTATAAACCTTCTATGGATATTATGCATCCTTCAAAGATTTCTGAAAGGATACCTAATGTGTTTTGTTCTTATTAACAGTAGTATAGAGTCTCTTAGAAATCCAAGAGACATATTATTGTTAAGAAAGGTGCTTGCTTTAAACAAATTCTGGCAGCGCTAATGACATACAATATCCTTCAATATTATTTCTACCATAATATATACATTTTAACTTCCATGCCTCTAGGAAAAAACATCTACATTTTGTGATATAAAAATATATTACAAATCTGCAAAACTATTTACAAGCAACGTCCCATTCTCTATATGCAACTTTTTTTTTTTTTTGTCTCAATACAAGACAAACAAGATACACAAGTTTTCTATTCCTGTAGGGTTAAAAAAAATTCCGTAATTCCTTGCTTAATAAAGTGAGGAAGCAATTTAAATCTTTTCATAGCCAACTTTGGTGCATAAACGATTGTATTTTTAAATGCTTCTTTTTAAAAAATACTTTTTTTTTTTTTGGACATAACAGAAACATTTAGGCCAAAAGAAGGGAAAGGGAGGCAATATAATCTTTAAAAGCAAGCTGGAGTTTTAAAAGCCAAATAGAATATAAAACCAATGTTGTTTCTTCTTCTTTTTTTGTATAGATATTATTAAAGTCTGATTAATATACAGTAATATCTTATGAAGAGGATCGGATATACAGCAACATCTAACATTGATCAACCTCCCCTGAATATATATATATATGTATATTTATATATATTTATATTCTGCTAAAAATCAAAGTATGCCATCACCATTTTGCTTAAACATGATACCACCACTTAAGGTTATGTGATTGGACACCACAAATTCACTAAAGTGACAACGGAGACGGTCCACCAAGAATTCTCTCTGTCGCTTATCAATGATGAGATTTCAAGAGTTTGCTTACCAAAAATAATGATAGTAATAAAAAAATTAAAAATGTGAGTAACAATGGCCAGGATGGTTTTCACCTGGCAAGTCAGCGATTGCCAGTTCATCCAAGTTTCAAGAGAGTCTTGAAAACAAGTTGGAACTTGTTTTGAAACAAGTTTCAAAAACAAAAACATTGGTGAGCGTGCCGGAGAAGCTTCACCATTGTACCGTCCCATTAAAGGTTATGTTAGACATTTATATATAATATATTCCATAGATGCTTCAACTTCATTCACAGAATGGTTAGACCAATCATAGGCTGGCAGCAGTTGGGCACAGAAGGGGTGGGTGTGCCGTGGGTGTGTGGGTGGGTGTCAGTGGATGAAGGTAAAGGACTCAAGGAATGTGCAATTCTAATTCCATGGTCAGTGACTAAGATGGTAGGTTAGGTGCCCCCACCAAGTCGATTTTTACCTCTTCAACCTCTTCTGTGGCATTGTTCTGGAAGGAAAAGGAAACACAGCATTGGTGGCTTCTCAAAGGAAGTTTAACTTGCCCTGGTTAACAGGTCCTTCCTGTTGGGAATTAAGACGGCATTACAGAAAAATACTTCTACTGTCAGGAAAGAGACCGGGGTGCTTTCTGAGGAGACAACCAGGTTGAAGTCAGTGGGAAAAAATTAAGTATTCGAAACATCTGGAAGCAGAAGGAATGAACATATTTCGGTTTATTCTTCAGATATTGATATGAGTTGTAGCTATGTGGATATTATCTTTCAGAAAAAGGAGTAAAGGACCCCACAGAAAATATTAATACTAATAAAAAACGGACTCACATCTCTCACTTTGCCAAAAAAAAAAAAAAAAAAGATTGATTAATTAATAAGCTTTTCATCTTTATCATACTTAGTAAGCTGAGGCCAGTATGGTGTTTCAAAGCTGTATTTATCACAATATCTTCCATTATTTCTGATGGAAACATCTGCCTTGCTCCCACGGTACCTCTGGACAAAGATTGCAATTGCCAAGAAGTCTTTTGTGTATATCCTCAAAGCTTCATATACTTAATTAAGAAACAGACTAAAAATGAGAGGATTTCAGAAACTAGTGCCAGGTCTGAACTATCACTTTACATTATTGCACTGTACGTAACTGAAACACCAAGAAAATGTTAAGGGCCGTACAGCGGCTTTATAATTAATTTTGCAAATTTAGCCATTATGATTCCTTCTGTTAAATAACATGTTTAACGGCATTTATTTTCCCAAGACAAAATTTAAATGGATTAATCTCGAGAATGAGAAATAACAGGTAAGCTAAAAGGTTTCTAGGGCTCAGATGAGCCTATACTAGTATGTAATTATTTCTATAAACATATTGCTGTGTATAGAAGTTGTCAGGATGAGGATGACCTGCCTCCATCAACCTAACAACCATTCCACAGTGTTTTGGGCGGTGTCTTTCCTATCTCTGCAACCTGAGATTGGCTATAGAGGAGGTCCTTGATTTACAACCAGAACTGGGACTAGAATTTCTGCTGCTAAGCAAGAGAGCCTTTATAACTGATTACAACTGATTTTATAAGCTGTTTTGCCATGGTTGCTAAGGAAATCGCTGCAAGTTATTAAATGAGTCAAGAGGTTGTTAAAAGAATCAGACTTCCCCTGTTGACTTTGCTTGTTGGAAGCCGGATAATAAGGTCACAAAGGGTGATTGTGTGACCCCAGGATGCTGCAACTGTAATAAATACATGCCAAGTGCCTGAATTTTGGTCACATGACTGTGGGAATGTTGCGATGGTTGTAAATGCAAGGACTTGTCACTTTTTTCAGCGCTGTTCTAAGATCAAATAGTCGCTAAATGAATGAGTGTAAGTCAAGGACTACTGGTAATAACACTTGCTAGGCATTAGAACCTCTGGAGCTTCTAACATTTAAAAGACCCAATGGCAGCAAAATATTAGCTGTATCCTTGATGATAAATCATAAATCAGTTCTTTTCAGATTACCTTTGGAGGAAAAAAGCACAGGAGATAAAGTTATGGACACTTATGGTGTCTATCGAGATTCTCAATCATCCAAGTCATGGTTGTCCCAAAGGGGCTTTTCCACAAAGCAACTGGACTTCCTTGGATTTTCTCCCTTGCAAATGTTTCACTTGTCATCCATGAAGCTTCTTCAGTTCTCTGATGCTTCTTGGGTGAGACGTGAAATGCTTTCAAGGAAAAATCCCCAAGAAAGTCCAGCTGCCTTTTGGAAATCAACTTTGGGATGACATTTACAATGTTTTCACAAAATCATACCCGTATTTCCCCGAAAATAAGACCAGGTCTTATTTTATTTTGGGCTCCAAAATAAGCACTAGGGCTTATTTTGGCGGGTATCTTTTTTCCCATGTACAGGCCCACTTCTTCTGCTGGTTCGTTGTTGGGCAGGAGGCCGTGCAGTGGGGCAGTGCCACCACGATGAGATGGGGGTGGGGTGAGATGTCCCACATGCCCCGCACTGGCCTATCTCAGGCCCCCAAAGCCAGGCCACCCACGCCCCGACACCTGCCTCGCCTCGCAGCTGCGGCACCAACACCAACACACCGCTTGGCCTCCTGCTCCGTTGCGGCTGCGAGCAAGCAGAAGTGGGCTGGCAGCCGCATGGGCTCCTGCTATACATGGGTGTGAGGCAGGTGTCGGGGCATGGATGACCTGCCTGCGGAGGCCCTGAGGTAAACTGGTGCGGGGTTCATGGAGCAGCTCCACCCCCACATCACCTTGTGGCCGCGGCACCGTGAGCAACCAGATGCAACAGGTGGGCGGCCAGCTGTGCTAGTTCTTAAGTAGGGCTTATTTTGGGGGTAGGGCTTATATTAGCCGCACACGTAAAAACGTGCTAGGTCTTATTTTCGGGATGGGTCTTATTTTCAGGGAAACAGAGTACTTATGAAAAACTATAGAATCTAATTGTATAGTAAAGTTCAATAGTAAATTATGATAGTTCTGTCCCCATCCTAACCCCAAAATGAAAAGAAAAAAGGCATTTAATTTGTTTAAATTGCACGGAGCACTAAGATCTTAAAGTAATACTATATGTATTACAGGCTGAACAGAAAGTGATTTTTTTATTTTAAAAAAAGATAAATTTGGACTTTAAAAAATTGGTATACCAACCAGCATGTGATCTTAAGAGAAGTGATCTTTCAGGATTCCATTGAATGTACCTCCTTTACTAGACTTTCTGTACACCAAGCACAAAAAAGTAAAATACACTCGGTAAATACACATATTTACCAGCCAGAGTTTAAGTTCAAAAGCTGTCATGTGACTTCATGCCTTGAAAATTAACTTCTGGATGCTGTCAAAATAGTGAAGTGTTTCTTTCTCTAACATCTGCCCAAAACATTAGTGAAGGTGAATGATCAAGGAGGAATAGTACTGCCTACTTTGGCTACCTGAATGATAGGCGTTCTGGTACAGCTTCAAAAAGTTACGCAAGGCATCAAGTCACATTGAGCAAAGAGAACATCCAGAAATGCAGAGATTTACCTGTATATGTTTGGGTCCAGAAGCAAAGCAGTATCTTTTGGTAGTTTTGATAAATGAACTACTTTAGTTTTTAATTGATGCCTTTCACTTTCATTTACCCACACATCAGGAAGACTATGAATAAAATAAAATATTCAAAAAAAGGTCAGTGATTCGCTCTCCATTATCACTACAGGTAAAAGAGCTGCTGTCAATTCTTATGGGAAATAAAAAAATCCACACCAATGTTGCACTGCCAAAAAGATTTGGCTGGAAATTTGCTTCTCTGTGAGCATCACAGTCATCTTAACTGTTATTGGAGTGTAATTCCAAACCTTTTGTTACAGAACAAGGCTGTCTCCCTCTATGTTCAAAGGGCTCCACCTCTTTCAGGAAGCAACATTCTATTTCTATCATTTTAGCTATGATGATTGGGATATATGAGATTTGCCCAAATTAACAATCTGTAGGCACAAAATTCCATGCCACCTTCTAGCAGCTCTATATCACGGATGTCAAACCTGCCACGTCACGTTGCCATCACGTGACGTTTCACAAGGTTTCTCCCCTTCGCAGAGCTGGGTTGGGTTGGGCGTGGCCTGCGCATGACGCATCCGGCACGCGGGCCGCCTGTTTGACACCCCTGCTCTATATGAATTGACAATAGCTCAAACTCTCTATGTGAAGTGATAACAAGGGTATTAGTTTGGCTCTGAGGATAGCATTCCCTACAATGTAAAGGAGCCCCTGAGGATTTTATTGCTAATTGTAACTGACTTTAGGGGTGTTATGTGTGCACATCTCTGTTTCAAGGCCATTGAGCCAGTGCTATCCGAAGTCATTTCTGTGGTTGTTTAACTAGCATAACTTCATGGAGTGGTGTTTCCTTCCCATCAAAATAGTGCCTATTTATGTACTCACATTTGCACTTTCGAACTGCTAAATTGGAAGGAACTGAGGGGTGGATAGGAGCTCACCCGGTTACGTGGTGCTCGGGTCTTGAACCTTGTCAGCTCTCCAGCTAACAAGTTCAGGGTCTTAACCGTTGAGCATAATGTCTATCTACTGGGAGCTTTTCAAAGTCCCACATAAATAGCATTAATGACAATGATTAATATTACTATTCAAAATAATAGCACCCCCAGGCAGTGACTTTATTTAAATCTCCATGCATTATTTCTTCAAAGCTAACTAAAAGGTAAATTTCATATACACTTTGCTTAGTGAAAAAAATTATTTATTTATTTATTTATTTATTTATTTATTATTATTTATTTATTTATTTAGCTAGCTAGCTAGCTAGCTTATATGCTTATATGCCTCTCTCTGAAAAGGACTCAGGGCGGCTCACAGCAATAAAATAGACAAATCAATATTAGATGTTAAAAACCATTAAAACTCCCCTTAAAAACCCATTCAGTCCAAACTGGCCTGGTGAAATAACCATGTCTTAAGGTCACGGCGGAAAGAGCGCAGGTCAGGGGCCACCCGGAGCTCCAGGGGGAGTTGATTCCATAAGATAGGTGCGCCCACAGAGAAGGCTCGTTCCCTAGGAGTCGCCAGATGACACTGCCTGGCCGACGGCACTCCAAGGAGGCCCTCTCTGTGGGAACGCACTGGGCGATGGGGAGCTGTTGCTGGCCGCAGATGGTCCATCAGGTACCATGGGCCTAAGCCAGGGTTTCAATTTAGGAAACTGAACTACAATTACTTTTGAAAAGCAATGGCAAATATCTGAAAGACATTTTCCACAAATTTATTTTAGCCAGTTTTAAGGAGCTTTCTAAAAGTTAATTGAGAAATGGACATTTCATCCTGTCCACTGTGAACTGAGTTAAATTGAATTAAAATTAAAACAGAATTGTGCCTCTGTTGAAAAGGATAGGAAAAAGGGATATATATTTCTATATGTGAACATATTGTTTAGAAATTGCTAGTTTCTGATATCCTGTACTTTTTGTTTATTGAAAAAGCTAATTATAGTTCAAATGAGCTTTGTCGATTTTAATATTGGTAATGAAGGTATCTTTCCATAATGATTTCAAACCCTTTTAGCAACTGCTTCTGTGGTGTTAACAAGGTAACAAATGCTTGCAGTCTTTAGAAAAGTTGACACATCGTATGCATCTTTAATGAAAAAAATAAAGAAAATTCAACAATATATACTGTATTTACTGATTATACAAGTAAGGATATTTCTGCTATTGACTACCTTTTCTATTTTTTTTTTTTTTAATTTGATTTATATGCCGCCCTTCTCCGGAGACTCAGGGCGGCTTACAATGTGTTAAGCAATAGCCTTCATACTTTTGTATATTTATACAAAGTCAGCTTATTGCCCCCACAAACTGGGTCCTCATTTAACCTACCTTAGAAAGGATGGAAGGCTGAGTCGACCTTGAGCCTGGTAAGATTTGAACCTGCAGAAATTGCAGGCAGCTGTGTTAATAACAGGGTGCATTAAACCACTGTACTACCAAGGCTCATTATTAAATCGTTATTTAGTTTTGGAAAAGTGCTAATTAACATAGGGCTAAGGCTTCTTTCCAATAGGTTCAAAAACCTCAAATAAAATTTAACTCGGGCTATGGATATCTTCTTCAGCACTGTAATAAGAGTAAAAGTCACTTTTCATTTTGTCTTCCTAATGAATATTACTTTTTCTTAATGTAGACTCAAATGCATGAATTAACTTGGTAATTTTAATTCTCCATCAGAGCTTTATAACAGTGCTATAAGTCTGAGTCATTGTTCAGTATATTGTAAATTCTGTGTAGGCTTGTGTAAAATATAAGAAATACCCTAATTTTTGCAGGTGCCCAAATTATGTACTACTGACTATAAGTACTTACATATCTTCTGGAGTCCAGTGAAGCAGCAACTTAACTTTTCCAGAGTCCTCTTTCCTTTTAGCCATTACCTAAAAGCAAACACGAGAAAAGCGACTTGAAATATTTATGCTCTTTCTTGAATTCCCTGCTCTTAAAAATATCTGGTCCAAATGTTTTATGTCAATAAGTGTTTTGGGTTACAGGGTTGTTGTTTTTTTCCATGGATTCTGATAGCCATTGAAACAGCTTTCTTCTTCTCTAAAAGCAGTTTACTTTTGAGATGATGTTCAAATTTATGTGAGATGATGCTAATACATGCATACGTTCCCTTTTTAATGTCTGCCCTCATTTCCTGTAACAAATATTTCGTGTTGACTAGGGATTTCTGGGAGCTGAAGTCCGCTCATTTTTGATTGGCCAAGATTGAGAACACTGACATACACTAGCTGCCTCTCTCAAAGCTGCCACCCCATGCTGCCACCCCAAAACAGCTGGAGTGTATCCAATTTCAGGAAAGCTTTCGCACGTTATATATTTTTTGCATCCTGTGGAAGAAAACAGTAGGTTTCTTAGCTTGACTCATGTAATGCATATCAAATTGGTTGTTTGCCTTCAACTTCATGAATGGACTGCATAAAGAGGTAGCTCAAGCCCAAAAGTGGAAACATCTTGATGTTCTGCAGAAATATTAACCACAGGATAAAAGCAACACAGACAAATAAGTTTGTAACTGCAAGTTTCAGACATGTTTCTAGAATTCTGTATCTGGTGTACAGGGACTGGAGCTGTTTTCAAAGCTAATGGGTCCCTGGGAAATTTAGAACCATGAGAGATAAAGAGTTATGGATAAGGCTGCTTGAAGAAATGTAGAAACAGGACTTAAATGCCATGGCGTAAAAGGGAATCGTTTAGGTTGACTCCCAACTTCTGATTACTCAAACATTTTCCAGTCTGGCTTTTTTCCTTCAAGTATTAAGGCTGCATTGTTAGTGGAGCCTGATATAGGCAAGTCTTGGGATTGAGAATGATATACGAGGTGCCTCAGCTTTTCTATTTTCTATGTTTATTTTTAAATGTATTTTTGTGTTATATTGTTAGTTGCCCAGAGTTGTTTGGTTAAGGTGGGCAACCATATATATTTTCTAAATAAATAGCAAATGCAAGCCTGCCTCAAGCATGGGAGTCCTGGTAAGAAAATCAGGAAAGGAATTGATTAGAAAAAACAGCAAAAACCGTAAACCCTCGTTGTGTAAAAACCAATGGAAATGTTGCATATTTACTCCTGGTTTGGGAAGGTGCCTTATGCATTAAGCTCAAAAGCTATATATAAAGATTCTCAAAGAGAATCAGAGCTCATCTGAATCAGTTCAGGTGATTAGGGCACAGGGGGTTTTCATAGGAGCTTCCACCTTCTAAGTTATTTTTGAACACTGGAATCTAATTTGAAAAGTAGCAATGATGGCACATTACTATTTTCTCACTCTGCATCCTACATTGTTAAATTTGCTCCAAAAAGAAACCAAAAAGTTTTTTAATGCAGCATTATTAGCAAAGATTCTATACACGGATCTATAAAAGTGTATAAGTAATGTTAAATGCTAGCCAGGTACTCTAGCAATCATCAGAAACAAACATATATAAAACAGAACTAAAAGGCTGATCGTAAAACAACTTCTAGAAACTTGGAAATTACAATTGATATAAAACATGCCTGAAATAGTTTTACCTGTTTCCATGTTATTTTCTTAAAATTAAGAGAGATGTAAGATGTCTGCATGTACCGTAACTCTATTTTCAGGCCTATGGAAAGCACTTCACAAATACAAAAGCCAAAAGAGAGGGAGGGGGCCCAACTGGCCAGATAATATATTTTATGTATCAATCAAGGTATCAAAAGACAATGGTAGAAGAATTTAATTCATAGCTATATTGTAGGTAAATCACTTGGTGTCATTTAAACATTCTAGACTATCATTACAATAACTATGGTCAGTAAATGGTCAATGGGAGGTATTTAAGAAAACTCTAGTTCAAAACATCTGGAGGGCACTAATTTCAATATCCTTTTTGATGGATTCAGAAGATCCCTCAGAAGGTGGTTCACCAAGTAGCGACAATGAACTTTATGGAGGGCAATGGGGGAAAGGAACAGCTGAAGTTCCTCACGAAGAGAAATTCCATGGAGGCTCTTTTCTAAGCTCCTGTTGTCATTTTGGTGAGAGGAAACTTCATATGAGAAAACTTTTACTCAGACTTTCAAAGCAGAAGCAAATAGCCACAAATCAGCAATCAAGATTATTGCTCGATTTGTCTTCAAAGGGTTGCAGGAGCATTCATAGGACTGTGACAATTCTGACAAAGAAATTATACCTTCCGTACCAAACAAACATTCCCATTTCTATTGCAGACTTTTTGAAAAGTCAATTTTTACCAGGAGGGTTACATATATGCAAATAGAGTTCTGCTGACCTCTCCTGGAGAACCACAGAAATAACTCAAAGATGTTAGTTACTCTTCCAAATTACACTATTTAGTTTCAGCCACTAAATATTTTGCAATGTGCAGCATACTCATGCAAGCATCTGCCTGCCACTGCTTAAAGCAGCTGTGCCTTCTCCCAAAATTTTATTGCAGAGTGTTGCTAGAATTCTCATTCTCAAATCTGCAAAATCTTCACTTTTATATCCATCATCAGATATTGCATTTAGATCTCCAGAACTACAGACTTAAGATTTGAGAAGGCTGATGATTCATGTGCTTCCTACTCCTTTCTTCTCAAGCTACATAAATTATCAAATTTATATACCGTATTTTTCGGAGTATAAGACACACTTTTTTTCCCTCCTTAAAAGCTATCCAGGAGCCTGGATAGCTCAACAGACTAATAGCCTGTTATTAACATTCAGCTGTCTGCAATTACTGCAGGTTCGAATCTCGCCAAGGCTCAAGGTTGACTCAGCCTTCCATCCTTTCTAAGGTAGGTAAATTGAGGACCCAGTTTGTGGGGGCAATAAGCTGACTTTGTATAAAAATATACAAAAGTATGAAGGCTATTCCTCAACGCATTGTAAGCCGCCCTGAGTCTCTGGAGAAGGGCGGCATATAAATCTAATTAAAAAAAAAAAAAGAGGCTGAAAATTTGGGTGCGAAGGACACCAGGAAGACATACCCAAAATATGTATGCCAAGCAGGGTCACCTAAACCATGAAGGTCATGTACATGACTAGCTAAAGCAAGCAGGAACTTACATCAGGCAGCAGAGATAGAGGATGATAGCATAGACGTAGATGGTCACTTTAATGACGACAGCAACGGTTCATACTACATGATAAGCCGTAAGCTCCTGTGCTTTACCAAGAAACCACATGGATAGATAAGATAATACACTGTCAGATAATGAATACTTAACATGCCTCTAAGGAACATTTGAGGTATCTTTTGGAGCACTAATGATACTTAGGATACTAAACCCTTCAGGAGGTTCAATCGCTGAGGTTGCTGTAAAAGGAAAAAGAAAATCCAAAGCGACAAGGACAGAATTATAATGGGAACGCAAAATGTAAAACCACAAATATGGGATGCTCGAGGCAGGAAAGGCGAGAAACGTATGATAGATTGACATGGTAAGCGTTAGAGAATTGAAACTGATTGGAACTGGAATGATTTTGAGTCAGAAAATCGTACCGTTTACTCAGGACCTAAAAATGAAGAAGAAACACCACCACTTTCAGTGAGGAAGGATACAGGAGGACAGGACTTGTGTACAATGGAACTGAGGACCAAATATTATCTATATTAGAATTTGCAGTCAACGTCCTTTAAAAGGATGCTCATCTAAGTTTCTGCTCCCACCACTGATGCAAGATGATAGGTTTTATGGTCAAGGTCCATCTGAAAATGACAGAACATGCAAGCAAGAGTTCCTGCTAAGGATTGGAGACTGGAATGTCAAAGTTAGAACATATAAGAGGAAATTATAGCTATGAACTGGATAGGAAAGGAATTAAGAACAACTTATCACCTGGTTTCTTTAGCAACAGCCCATTCTTCCAAGCAGAACAATTTCCAAATACATAGATGTCATCAGATAGAGAACACAGAAGACTGATTATATTATTGGTACAAAGAATTGTAACAGATCAAATAACCAGCAAAGACGTGGTCAGGAGCTGATTGTAAAGGGGGGTGGGGGGAATCATGAACTGATTATGTGCAGGTTCCATACCAAGCTAAAGAGAGAGATCAAAGTCAAAAGTTTCCACAACTAATCTTGAATGTATAGCTACCATTTTCAAGAATATCATGAACTGCTCTGAAATCCTGGACCTCCCTGAGAGAGAACCAGAGAAATTATGGAATGAAATCAAAGAGGTTATAAAAGATAAATGTAGAACAAAACTGTCTAAGAAATAGAAGACACCAAACTGGATGTCAGAACAGATTATAGAAATTGCTAGGAAGAGGAAGGAACCAACAAAGTCAAAGATCTCAAGAAGAACTTAACCCCCACCCCCCAAAATGTAGAGTGCTGTTAGATGAGACAAGGAACAGCATTACAGCAGGATCTGTATCTAGTTAAGAAATAGGAAATATAAATAAATAAAAATATACAAAATAGAAACAGAAGGGGAAAATATAGATAAATTTCCAAAAGTTCACAAAATCAGAAGATTCCAATCTCAAATCAATATGCTAAAAGAGTCAATGAACAGATAGTAATTCAGAAAAGATCGAGTAGAAAGCAAAAGAATAATAATGGTTCTAATCACACCAGCAAATCTGGAATGACCCAATGGTTAGTTGACAGATTGGAAGAGGTCAGTCTTAATGCCAATATCAAGGAAAGGAGGCTTAACAGATTGTACAAACGAATGCACTATATCCTTAATTTCACATGTTAGCAAAATTGATGTTCAGTGTCATCTAATGCAGATTATAGGCCTAAATGGAAAAAGATGCCAGATGTTCAAGCTGGCTTTAGAAAAAGCTAAAGAACAAAAGGCTTTGCTGATACACACTGGATAACTGTTACAGAATACTAAAAAGAAGTGGAAGTATTTGACTGACTACAGAAAGCCCATGTTAACCATAGTAATCTGTGGATTGTCTTTAGGGAATGACAATCCAGATCATCATTGTCCTCATTGAAAACCAGAATCTGGATGGAACCTGGAAAGATAAAATTGACTCCAGGTTGAAAAGGGAGTGAAACAAAACTATACTGCCTTATTTGTTTGTTTATTTGTTTGTTTGTTGATTTATTAATTATGCTGGATATATTTTTTGAGGGAAGATGGACTGGGAGAAAATGATTGTGATTTTAAAATTGGACAAAGAAACATCAATAACCTGCTCTCTACTGATGACGCTCCTCTGACAGATGAAAATGCAAATGTTCTGCAAATTCCAACAATAAATATCAAGGTACAGCTGAAAAAAAATGAGACCACAGCTCCATTAATTAAAATCAAGGAGCATGTGAAAAAAAAAAAGAGATTAGGATTAAAGATAAAGAGATCCAATCTAAGGCCAACAAACACTGTCTTAGACCTGAAAGTGAAGACATTCAGGTGGTATATAACTTATGTGCCACACAGAGACAGGATAGCAAGGAAGGTCTTGGAAAAGATATTCAGATGCCATCACTTGGCTCTATCTACGAGTAGAATCACATTAACAATAGTTTCCTCTGTAACACTTGACAGGAGTTAAAAGACAGACTCTGGAGAAGGTGGAGTACGGGTAGTCCCCAACTTACAACAGTTCATTTAGTGACCTTTCTAAGTTACAAAAAAATGCACTGAAAAAAGTGACTTATGATCATTTTTCACACTTATGACCATTGCAGCATCCCCATGGGTCACTGATTTACATTCAGATGCTTGACAAATGGTTCATATTTATGACAGTTGGAGATGTCTCCGATTCATGTGATATTCTTTTGTGAGTTTCTCTGACAAGCAAAGTCAATGGGGAAGCCAGATTCACTGAACAACAACGGTGTTACTAATTTAACAACTGCGGTGATTCACTTAACGAATGTGGCAAGAAAAGTCACAAAATGGAGCAAAACTCACTTAACACATTTCTCTCTTAGCAACATAAATCCCGGGCTCAATTATGGTCGTAAGTCAAGGACTACGTGCATTCCTCTTTTAACGACCCCATAATCCTTTGTGGGGTGGAGACTGAGCAACTGAATGGAGCTGTTTACTGGCCGGATGCTCTTCCTGTTGCCAATGCAGTGTTTTTTCAGCAGATACGTTTTCAGTGTCCCCCAGAGAGAGAAATACCTGCCTCTACCTAGGATTGAACTCACAGCCTCCTGATTGTGAGGCGTGAGCTCCACCTCTAGGCCATCACACCACTCTCAAGGACTATGTACATTAACACTTTTAAATGTTGCATTGGAAAAGATTACTGAGAATATCATGGCTAGCTATGAAACCAACACATCAGTCCAGAGTTCTCACTTGCAACACGAATGACCAGGCTCAAATTATCATATTTCGGACACATTACACAAAGGCCTCACTGTTTTTGAGAAGTTTATAATGCTAAGAAAAGTGGAAGGAAAGGGGGGGGGGATGACCACCAGCTAGGTGGATAGATTCAGTTGCCAATTACAACGAATCCTGCATTAAGAGACCTAAAAGGACAGATCACTTGGAGAATATCTACACACAGTCAGTAAGAGTCAACATTGATTTGATGGCACTTAGACTGGGTATGAAGTAACAAGTGTGTCTGCATCCCTTTATGCTGTAAGTGTTTGCTTGCCTGTATGAACAGGGAAACATGGGAGTGCATTCCCTGGTTAATGTGATTGAAAGAAGGAAGGCTTAGAACACAGGAGCCGGCAGCTTTCTGAACTACTGTTCTAGTACCTACCTCTCTCACAGGGGTCAGCAGTCCCTGGCCAGATCATGACAATTTCGGACCTCCATCTTTCTTTTGTCAATTTCTCTGCCCCACCAGATTTGTCACCTTGTGTTCTATTATGACAGTGGTGTCAAACTCGCGTCGTCACATGATGCATCGTGACTTCGCTAAACCAGGGGTGGGCGTGGCCAGCACATGACTCACCCGGCCTGCGGGCCGCGAGTTTGACACCCCTGTATTATGAGGAGTCATCATACTTATGGACAGTGTTCTGAGTTCCTTTACATAATTTCTTTCCAACTTTCCACAAAGTTGGAAAGAATAAATATATTTAGCCCGGAGAGCTATTTGAAGTGCTAGGATAGTATTTCTGAGAGCAGAATTCAAATGGTCATTTATCCATGGCTGTGACTAAGGTGCTGGATGAGCCTCTGGGAGACCAAGGTTCTCATCCTTTCACAGCCATGGATTACTCTCAGGTCGCTCTCAGAACAATCTGCCTTAGAATTATAATAGAGAGAAACTGAATGCAAGGAGGCTATGTAGACCAGAAGGTCCTGGATGAAGGATAGGAAATAAATTTAACCAATTAAAATATGAAAATTGCTGAATAAACCTGGAGAAATCACAGCCTTCAGCAACTTTAGAGGGCTGCTGTTATTCTTCCATGTTCTATAACAGGGATGTCAAACTCAATATAATTGAGGGCTGCATCTGGGTTGTGTTTGACCTCAGGGGGCCAGGGTGGCTGTGGCCAGCTCGACGTCACTCATGTCGAGGGCGCCTGTGGTGGCCCAAGCGCTCTGCCAGCGAAAACAGGCTCCTGAGCTCCGTTTTTGGATATGTTGGCCTCCTGCAACCCTCTGCCAACGAAAACGGAGCTCAGTTTTCGCTAGCAGAGGCACTGGGGGCCGGTCCTTTGCTGTTTCCAGGATGGCCCTGAGGGCCAGATCTAAGCACCCCAGAGGCCGGATCTGGCCCATGAGTTTGACACCCCTGTTCTATAGGATAAAAAGAGAGGAACATGAACTGCATATATTTTTGGAAGAAGAAGACAGAAATCTTTGCAGAAGACTTTTCAAGCAACATTATCTAAATTAAATCCGTGTTAACAATGCACAATGATGTAAATTTCAGTGTAGAAAGGCTGTTTGAAAATATTGAAGATATTATAAATATACCAAGTACGGTAGATAATAATACTTACAGTACTGTGAAATACAACACTGTGGCCTTTTCCCAAACTTTCTATGTGAGCAGAAAGGTTAAAGCAAATAGCTCGATGCCGTATGGCGTCCAAGGTCTGTGCATCAAAGAAGTCATGAGGTCTTGCTAAGAAAGAAAAAAAAAACAAAGCAAGCCTTCAACTACAATGCAAGAGTGCATGAAACATATTTAACTGTTCAGCTTTTCTGATCTTACTTTAAGGAAGGAAGATTACGCCTTCTGCTTTCATAGCACAGGCTGTGAAGTATATATATATATATACCTACAATGATCCTATTTTTAAAATTATTAAACTGTTCTTACTATGAGTAAGTCTTCCACTAATGTTTCATTGAAGTTTGCCTTTTGTAATTTAAATGCAATATTCCAAAGTCTGCATTCAGGTGAGAAAAGGAAAGGTTTAGGAGGTCTTTTTCTTCTGAAAAATCCTTTTAAGCATTTGAAAACTGGAATTATATTTTCCACTTTCAAAATTAACCCTTCCCAGTGCATTCAGTGTTAATTTTCCAGTCTCCAAATCAATGTCCTTGATCTTCCCCAGACCAATTTTTCTGATTTCAATTTTTCTTTTCAGAACTAGACATAACATTCAAGGAAGGATCTGATAAACAGAAGATAAAGTGAAACCTTCATGTGATTTGAAAAAAACACAACACTCTGTAATAACATTAACAAAACTATGGTTGTTTTATTTTGCAACCACATCACACTGCCACCTTACTTTCATTTGCAAGCAACTAGTATTACAAGATCATTATTGCAAAAATAGCAAAACTTCCATTTAACAGGTTTTGAAGCAATAGGTTTTGGACTTCAGTCCCAACTTCTCTCAGAATACCCAAATCCATTGTTTAGGAAATATGTTGCCTATATGTGCATTAACATACCTTCTTGGGCAACCGTTTCACTGTTATTTATTTTGTTCATGTATTGTTTCCCAGAAACATATTAGTTGGTGATTTCTGGCTTCCAGCTTCTTAGCATTTTCTTTTTTTATTTTATTTTACTTCAAATTTATATACCGCCCTTCTCCCTAGGGACTCAGGGCGGTGTACAGCCAAATAAAAACACATAATAAATACATTAAGAACAGATTAAAAGGAAATATCTCAATTTGGCCCAAAATTTAAAAAGACAAACAAATTTAAAATCATTTAAAAGATTTGTTAGGCCAGCCCGGCTTGTTGGAAAAGGTAAGTTTTAAGGGCACGGCGGAAGGCACAGAGGTCTTGGATTCTCCTTATCTCTGGGGGCAGCTGATTCCAGAGGGTGGGAGCCTCCACAGAGAAGGCCCTCCCCCTGGGGGTCACCAGCCTGCATTGCTTGGCTGATGGCACCCCGAGGAGGCCCTCTCTGTGGGAGCGCACGGGTCGATGGGAGGTCGTCGGTGGCAGCAGGCAGTCTTGAAGATAACTATGTCCTATGCCATGCAGCGCTTTAAAGGTGATAACCAACATCTTGAAGCGCACCTGGAAGACCACTGGGAGCCAGTGCAGCTCGCTCAGGAGCAGTGTTATGCGGGAGCGCCATGCAGCTCCCATAATTACCCGTGCGGCCGCATTCTGGACCAGTTGGAGCCTCCGGGTGCTCCAACTCCAATTTAAGGTCTTATGACACTTATGATAACCTGGTTCAGCTTTTGGCTCTGCCTTTTTTATTATTATTTTTTTTGCTGCTCACCGATTCCTTGGTTTATTTGGTGTTTTTTTTTTTTTTTTTGTTTAGTGTTGGCTCCTTGATAAACCCAGACCAAGAAGCTGAATTATAGACATTCCCTATTTCTAATGGTCCTTTAAATTGAGGCTGCACTGCACTGTTTCTAACCTAGATATCTCCAATGTTATATTTGTGTGCTTAACTAACCTGAGTTAACTTGGCATTGCTCCGTTATTCAGTAAATATACATATATTTTTATAGCTATGGAGGGACCTTATAGCTATGGAGGGACCTTATAGGTCATCTAGTCCACACACACCCCGCTCAAGCAGGAGACCCTACACCATTTCTGACAAATGGCAGTCCAATCTTTTCTTGAAAGTCTCAAGTGATGAAGCTCCCACAACTTCTGAAGGCCACTAATGTTCCATGGGTTGATTGTTCTCACTGTCAGAAAGTTCCTCCTCATTTCTAAGTTGAATCTCTCCTTGGTCAGTTTCCATCCATTATTCCTTGTCTGGCCTTCGGGTGCTTTGGAAAACAGCTTGACCCCCTCCTCTCTGTGGCAGCCCCTCAAATATTGAAAGACTGCTATCATGTCTCCCCTTTTCCATCTCTTCACTAGACTAGCCATGCCCAGTTCCTGCAACCGTTCTTCGTATGTTTTAGCCTCCAGTCCCCTAATCATCCTGGTTGCTCTCCTCTGCACTTTTTCTAGAGTCTCAACATCTTTTTTATAGTATGGTGATCAAAACTGGATGCAGTACTCTAGGTGTGGACTTACTAGGGCTTTATAGAGTCGTATTAGTACCTCACTTGATCTTGATTGCAATTATCTGAATCCAATTCAAAGGCAATGAGATAAATACAAAATATAAGAAAGTGAAATTTTCATTTATCACACTGAGCATATAAATACTACTGATTTGAGCTCAACTGAACTACAATAATGTGAATAGAAGATATGAATTTATACTTTGCCACTTTAATAACATTTTTTAAATGTTCTTGAAGAAGTATTTGATCTAACATTGTTTTCACTGTGTGGACTGCAAATCAAATGGAATGTCATGGGGAAAATGGGTGCTCACAGACACTTTTAAATTTGAGCTGGGTTTTTTTTTTTTAAAGACATTTTTTTTGCTAATATTTTTTTTTTTTTTGGAAGGCATCCAAATCCAGGTTGGTGAGCTGAATAAATTGCCCAGGTTTATGGATCTTAGTTCTCTTCAGCTGTTCAGCAAAGACACTATTTTAACTACCAAATGAGCATATATTAAATATATATTGAGGTAGATTTCCTTCATCACTTGTCCACTATAATTAGATATATCTCATACAGAAAAATAACAACAGAACAAGGATAACACTTCAGCTGATTATGCACCAAAATCATCTGGCATCAGTGAATTAAATCCAGCAATGCTAAACTTTGGTTTTTTGAAGAATACCTTTATGCAAGATCAAGTCGCTGAAGATACGGATCACTTCATAATTCTCAACAAACAATATTATATTTAAACAGGCAGTGGGAATAAGAAAAACCTATTTGTGATATCCATCAGTGATATTTATCAAAGTATTCATATATGACATCTGCCTCTAGCACTAAATGATGAAGTTAGTCATTACCAAGTCAGAAGGCTGTAGGAAACTAGAATACTCACTGAAATATGGCAAACAACAGAAGAATAAAAAATGTTCTAACTAAGCTTATAGGAGGAAATCTGGAAAGTGGAACAGTGGCAACACACTGGAAGAGGTACATATAATACAGTACTTATTAATACAAAAGAAAAGACACTTTAACAGAATGAACGAACTATCGTACAAATAACCTTGATTTTATAAGCTAGTAAAATGATGCTTAAGCTCACCCAGGGCAGATTAGACACCTACACAGAAAAAGAGATGCCAGATGTTCAAGCTGGCTTTAGAAAAGACCAAGGAACATGAGACCTAATTGCCGATGAATGCTAGATAATCGAGAAAGCTAAACAATATCAAAAAGAAGCCACTATGTGTTTAATTTATTATAGAAAGTCCTTTGATTGCGTCCATCACGAATGTGCTTAGAAAAATGGGGATCCCAGAATATCCCATTCTCATGAGATACCTACATACAAGTGAGGAAGCCACAATGTGGTGAAATGGAGAGTTCCAGATTGACACAGGAGTGCAACCAGGCTGTATATTCTCCCCTTATCTACATGCCGAATATATATTAAGGGAAAGCTGATATTAAGGGAAAGCTGAACTGGAGGAAGATCAATGTAGTTTTAAAACTGGAGGAAGAAAAATCAATACCCTGTGCGTTATTCTGATAAGACTACTCTGATAGCAAAAATACAAAGGATCTGCAAGCTCTAGTAATAAAAGTTAAGGAGAAAAGTGAAAAAAATAGGGACTAAAATTATATATTGCCTAAAGTGATATTAGGAAGAACAATCACTCTTAGAATTGACAATGAAGATACTTAAGTAATGGATAATTTCTGCTTTTTAGGATCAACCAACAATAGTAAAGGAAGAAACAGTAAAGAAATACAATGCGGATTGTCACTTGGTAGAGCACCCATGAAAGCCTTGGAAAATATATTCAAATGCTGAGATCTGTCCATTACCTACAAAGATCAGAAAAGTGCAAACTATGATAATCACTGTGAAAGCTGGAATTTGAAGAAGCAGGAAGGAAGACTACTGACATTTTTTTGAACTTTGGGGTTGGAGAAAACATGTGAGAATATTGTAGATAGCCGAGAAAACAACCAAACAGATATCTAAACAAATGGCCAGGCTCAAATTAGCCTACTTTGGATTCATTTTGGGAAGATTTGTCTCTCTGAGAAGGCTCTAATGCTGGTAAAGTTGGAAGAAAAGAAGACAATCAGGAGCCAGATGGATGAATTCATTTATGGCAATGGATGTGCCATTAAAAGATCTGAAATACCAGGGTTTTTTGTCATGAAAAAAAAAAAATCTATTGATGGACTGTCTGTTAAAATAAAGCCAGGTCATGGTACACACTTGAAAGTAAATCAAGAAGCCTGTAATTGTGGGATCTCTCTGGCAAGAACAAAGAATGCTTATCTACAGGAAATATGCATGTGTAAATCTTGTAACAATTCTGGGTAATTAGAAATCTGATAAAAGTAACAAGGGTTAGACAACTTGCAGGCCTCAGCTAAAAATTAGGAATAGAGATGGCCTGCAGCCAATAAAATCTGTATTAGACAACTCCTGAGGCATTCACTAGCCAAGACTAAGGAATAGGGACAGCTAGAGACCAATAGAACAAATTGTAGAATTATTACTAAAATGTTTATTAGATTATATTTCTTATTATCTCGCCTTGTCCCGCCTTCTCTTTTAAATGTATAAAGCTTATTTAATCCTTTGTTCTTGGTTCTTGGCATTTTGGCCAGGAGCCCTTTTCCTTGGAGTACTCCAATAAAAAGCAATCAGAAAATCTGCACCTCGTGTCTGGCGTCCATCATTGGCTTAGGCACCAGGCTCAGACCCGAATTGGGGACAACACTATGTAGATGATAAGAGTTGACGGCAACTTGATGGCACATAATTGAACAATATATTCAATACTTAAAACTATAGTCACAGAGAAATGAAAATGCATTCATGAAACAGCATGCAACGACTTGGGTTTATGTATCAGATTCAGCTATGTTTTTGACTTTAGCTTAATGTGTTGCATGAATATGGTCCCTATGGCTTGGAAATCATTTTTCATATATACTATTACAAATCCAGACAATAGTGTTTGTAAGACAAAACGTGACTTTCAACCAAACTAGTGGAATCAAGTCAAGCTACCAGAATATCATAGTTTAAATCAGGAGATGTAACTAGGAGCATAATTCAGCTCTACGTTCTACGGCTTCAATTCCAAAGCTTATTTATGCTTTATTATTTTGATTTAAAACCATGCAATATCTGCCAAGCATGGCAGTTTAGAAACACAGAAGCACATGAACCTCTAATGTTCATAATTTAGATTCAGCAGGATTATCATTATTTTCAATGACACACTCCATGATTGAAACATGTTATTTTTTATTACTGTCCTGGAGAATTTTCATAATGAAAATTCTGATTAATTATCAGACATGCAGGCAGGATGAATACCACTGAGATACCAAGAATTGCAAATCCAATTCTATACTCAGAAATTAGGAATGTGCATTTGTATTCTATTATTTTCTTCTTTAATTCCAGATGTTTGCTATGTTTTTACTTCTTTTGCTTTCATACTTTGTTACAATTTTAAGCCACCCACAATCAATTTACAAGTTGGGTGGTCATACCAAATAAACTCTTAAAACCAACCAGGATCCTTCGCCCATCCAAAAGTTTTAAACTGAAACAAATTATCTGGATTCAGGCTTGGCCTGGGAAATGCCATTGGCTGCTCTGGTGGCTGACCTTTCTGGGACCTAAATATGAGAGTTGTGGCATTTGTTATCATTGAACCTGCATCTTTCTGCCCCACCTGCATGGATTAAGAATTAGACATTAGAATGTATTTGATGGTGGTTCTACTCCTACAAGAGTGGTGATACCAATCACAAATGAAGGAGGAGAAGCATTCAAGCCCTTGGTTATTATGTGTGGTTACTCAGAACTCTCCTTTATACTATTTAATATCTATGTAAAATCACTGTGGGAGGCTACCTGTCTCTCCATAATGCGGTATCTCTGCTATGCAAATAACACCCAATTGTATACTGACACCCCAGGCCAAGGGGGAGATGCTGTGCTTACATCCTGGGAGGATCTGAATGGGATAGAGTAAGTTCAGATTGAGTCCCTCTGAGACAGAGCTGCTATTTTTCAATAGACCATGGGTTATCCAAATAACATAGTTCTCAGTAGTCATACTGAATGGAGTTTGTTCCCAATGAAGGAACTGATCTTTGAACAGCAGGAAGTACTGTTGTCAGGATGGGGCAGGGAAGTGGGCCATTGCCCAGCTTCAGGTGTCAAGCCAGTTATGGCCCTACGTGGACCCAGATGCCCTAGTAAGTAATCCACATCTTTCTAACCACTCAACTGGATTATTGCAACATGCTATGTATGGGGCTGCCATTGGAAACTACTTAGAATGGTGGTCCCCAACCTTTGCGGCTTGGCAGTCCCACTGGGGGGAGAAGAGGAGGAAGTGGGCTGCATGAGTGGTAGATTGGCGCATGAGTACACAGCCCTTGCATGAGTGGTGGGCTGGGGCACATGTGCGCAAGTGCCCACCAGCCCACTGCTTGTGCAAATTGAGCTGCACGCAAGCACCTGTTCCGGCCAGTCAGTCACACGGCCCAATTCCGAATAGGCCACAGCCCGGTAGTGGGCCATGGCCCGGGGGTGGGGGGGTTTGCGGACCTATGACTTAGAACCTACAGATGGTACAAAATAGAGCTAGCAATCTACTCCTACTAGTGCATAATAATACATATTTAAAATCTTTTTTGATTAGGGTTCCGAGTCTATTAAAAAAACCTGAAAGTTACCTTTCAAAGCTCGACACAGCACAGTATCCACAGGCAATTCTTTTCTAGGATAGAATCTGCTTACCTGGTTTGATCATTATAAGAGGATTTCAGAGTTCCTCCACTTTTTGAGATAGATGGGTGTGGACAAGGCAGCATATCGCTTCAATGGTAGCCCCCCCTTTATGGAATTCTTTTCCCAAGGGGAAATCTCTTGGTTTTTCAAAACCAAATTATAACACTTTCATTTCATCAAATAGAACGGGGGCATCATGGCATTTTTGTTTTTTACTAGAAATATTAGTTGTTTGGCCTATTGTTGTTTTAATGCTTGCAACATTAGAAATGTTGTGAAATGACTTCATATATATGTATGTATGTGTGTATTTGTATATGTATATATGTGTATATATTGCCATCATCCTTCTAAAAAGTATCTTTGAACCCAACATAGGCTCCAAAGGCAATTATTTAAAAATAAAATTAATAGGCAATTTGAACAAGACTTTGTTTTGAAGTCTGTATAAGAAAAAAAAAACCCAAACATAATCTGGAATATTAAAAAATATCCTGGAGGCTGTTAAAAGATGCCCATAAAATCCTCCAATATGTATATCCTTTCTTTTGTAATAAATAAATGCACAAGAAAAAGCAACACATGTGAATCATCAACAAGAGCCAACATGACGTTGTGGAAACTCCTATGATTATTTTATTGCAATGTGGGAAGTAGGAGGGTTGACTTTTTTCCCCCTCTGAAACAGTTGGGATTTATAAGCCATGGTTTGTTTTAATCCTGGCTTGCCTGGGAAAGACAAGCTAAATAGTTTGCATGTCACAATAAGCAAACCTCAGAAAGAGCATTCCTTGGTTTGCTTAGCTAGTCCTGGTAACAGAAGCTAAGTGGGAGCTATTGAGCAACGCTTGCTCTTTCACAGCGAGTCAGAATTCTGGCTTACCATGACGTGTGACCACTCCTATTCTCTTGTCAGTGGTTAAGAGTTCCCCAGCACAGTCTGGCACCAGCCCTATAGAGGACAGCAGAGTCAAGGCCTTTATATATCCAGTATCCTAAAACCTTAAACGTTTTGTGAAATGAGTGTCTGATTCAATACAGTGCAGCTATCACTTATGCAACTGCAAATGTCATTTTTGAACTCAAGACCATAGCAGCATTAACGTCCATCTTGAAAAAACTGGATTTTGCCAATATAGATTCCCCCTCCATTTTTTTCATGGGTCTTATCTTATGAGAGCTTCCCTCTTTGAAGCATCCCAGCTGACGATGGACGACTTGTCAAGTTGTCAAAAGTGAAGAAAGCAGGAGGGCAGAAAGTGCTCTGGGTTCAAAGGGGAAAAGATTCTTTAGAGTCTGAGCACAAAGAATCTGTTAGGAGGGCAGCCATGAGAAAAGGTAGGTAATTCTAACAACAAAAAATACTATTCAAATCTTTGCTAGCCGGGACAGTCTCATTTCCAAACAAACAGCCTCCAACTGTACTTATTAATACATCCCTCACTTCCATCTGTAATGTAAGACTGAACTCAGAGATAGCAACCAGTTCAGTCATTTGTGAATTCTACGGCTGAATGAGAACTGAAATAGGTTTTTCCAGTCCAGATCTATCATATGGACTCTATGCTAAGTAATCAGTTCAAGCAAGAATTTTTGCTAACACAGATCCTTTTAGAGAAGGGTTTCCCAACCGTGGCAACTTGAAGATGTGCGGACGTCAACTCCCAGAATTCCCCAGCCAGCATGCTGGGAATTGAAATACACACATCTTTAAGTTGCCAAGCTTGGAAAATACTATTTTTAAAGCTATCATTTCAACTAAACTGAAACATTAACATCAGTCTGAATATGAAATTTCAGTTCGATTTCTGAGATTTTTTTTTAACTTCTGATAGGGTTATATTAAGTTTCAAAAACTATTTTTCATTATTGTCTACAAAAATGTAACTACAAAACCACAATCTCCCCCCTCCCCCAATGTGATTCCTGAGGAGTCTAGTACAACCCTTCAAAATTATCACCCAAAATGATGCTGGGGAACGCAGAGTTCCTTGCAGACCCCTTATGCTACTCTTCAAGTAACCATTCACATCTTTGGACTTTGACTGTCAGGTGCAATACTAATAGCATGAGATTTTTCTTGGCCTAATAAAGGATTCCAGAGAGGATGACAAAAATGACAGTAATCATTGTCCTCTGAATGCCAACGAACTAAGTATTCTGTTCAGTAAAGACATCCTATCGGGCATAGCCTCTGCCTGCTATAATTCTGAAGCCTTCAACTTCAGAGCTGAGGATAAGTTAAAAAGGTACATTCATGCTAGGTATAATGCTCTCTCTGACTTTTCCATGGAGCCAGATCTTAAATTCAAAGCTACTAATGAGAGGATCTGCAAGAGGGTGGTAAAGAGGCAAAAAGCTATTGAGAGCAAGCAAGCAAGCCATAAAGGTCAACCGCAGGGTTATAAAGCTTATCACAGAACTAAAACATGCACAAGGCTTACGTAAGGAGCGCCTCCGTTTGTTCTTTAACTTCTTTCTTTTGTTCATTCCAGCTTTAGAAGGAGACTCTTCTTTTGCCTTTGGCTGGTTGGTAACTTTTGAAGAATTCTGCTGACTGAAGTGTGTTGGTACATGCCGAGCCAGTCCACTCTGGGAAGCAAAACTAGCATTGCATCCTCCCACAACGCACTAAAAAAAAAAAAAAGTTAGAGGTACCCAGGGAGGCCATCACTGAACCCAGAAGAAACAGGCTGATGTGGTCTTGCTTCACTATAATCCTTTTATGAAAAGAAGAACTGAGCAATCCCAGTCAACACATTGAGAAAGGCTCACTTCAAACAGGACGTCAATTATTAAAGATTACCTTCCCTTCATTGTTCTTAGTGCAACACAGCAGGCAATCAAGAAAAAAGACAGTAGACAAAAGTGATTTCTGAACACTAGAGCAGTAACACAGTTCCAGTGATGTGAGAACATAGCCAACAATGTGAAATTCTACCAACTGCAAAAGGTTTTTTGCATAGTTAATAGCAGATATTAATGGATTTTTGTTTGTGTGAATGAATACTTACACTTTTATACAGAAACAAATCTAACAATAAGATTAAGTCAATAAGATTAGCAAAAGTCAGTTGAAGTATTGCATTTCCTTAAATATGATGATTAAAATAGATGTAATATTCTATGACAACAATTCCTGCTGTCAGGAAGCGATTGTCTGTCTGTCTGTCTACCAACCAATCAACCCTTTCCTCTCTAACATCAGAAACATTAACCAAGAGGACATGTACAAAAACACAAATGTCCTCTTGGTTAATGTACTAAATGGCCTTCCACTTAAGGTTTTTCTTTCAACTGTCATCTAATAATTTGAAACTGCTACTAATCAAATCTACAGGATTTTTTACTTAGGTGGGACGTGAGTTCTCCCCAGCACAGAAAGCCTTTCATAGGGCAGAGGCATAAACAAAATTAGCAAAATGTTCCAAAATCAACACCAAAACCATAATTTTGGTTCTGGTGAACTGCCAAAAATAAAGTAGGTGTATAAAGAAATAAAGTATAATTTCTCTCTCTTATCCACCTGTGTTTAGTTCACCACCTATGAAGGCTGCTTGGTTAATGATTTGGTCACAAGGATCTATACTGTGAAATTCCCAAGTGTGAAGTTTTCTCTGTAAATAGGGAAACCTCCACTGATGAATAGACTGGCTATGGGCACATTGACAGACATGGCTCTGTGAGAACATCAAATGCCAATGACATGGAGCCTGCCCATTTGTATCTGACTCTAGGGGGCAGTGCTTATCTCCATTTCATAGCCAAGGGAGCCAGCGTTGTCTGAAGATGTTTCCATGGTCATGTGGCCAGCATGACTATATGCTGAGGCTCACAGAACACTGCTATCTTCCCACCAAAGTGGTCCTACCTATCTACTCACATTTGCATGATTCTGAACTGCTAGGTGGGCAGGAGCTGGGGCAAGTAATGGAAGCTCACCCCGTTATGCGGCACTAGGGATTCGAACCGCTGAGCTGCTGACCTTTCGATGGACAAGCTCAGCGTCTTAGCCACTGCGTCCCTTATGAGAACTATACCCACTGTCTATTTGTTTCTAGTCCCAATTCAAAGTGCTAGGCCTCCTTTGGTTTAATGTTCCAAATGCATGAACCTGCTTTTATAGATATGTGATAGAGAGGGCTTCTCAAAATTTCTTCTACTCATTATGAGCCAAGCCAAAAAACAAACAAACCCTTTACTGTGGAATAGCTTTTCCAGAGTGATTAAGCAGGCACCAACCTTAAAGTATTATTTGTTTCCCAATTTTTTTCAAGTTAATCAGTTTGTCCTATTGTATTTTTATTCCTTTTTGAATCTGTTAACTTAGACAGACTATTGTCATATTTTAAAGGCAAGTTATTTCAGGGAGAAAGGACAATGCCTTCCTTTCAGATAAATGCATAAATATTTTAATAAATACTGACTACAAAGATAAAAGAAAACAAGGTAGGCTAAAAAGCCTTGGAAAATAACCTACTTTAAAAGGTTTGTCCCCACTATGGGTCAACATATGCCGCTGTAACCAACTCTGACTTGTTGATGGTGTGTTATACACTTTGCAGCCTTTCCATAAGCAAACAAATACCTAGTAAGAGAAAACATAAATTAGGCGGAAGCTTGGTTTACACATAATTTTAACATTCAAGATATTATTTTAACTCAATTAATTACCCGAAAATACATGAAAAGGTGCTTCTAAATTCACAGAGAAGAAACAGTAATTGCCAAGAATCATCACACAATGAATATACAGCTGAAATAGCTAACTTAGTTTTGTGAAGTTATCAATCTAAGAGGACCACTTGAAACGTTAAATAAATTCAGCAAGGATGGATGGATTCATGACTATTTAAGTACCTAACCAAAATATTTCTCTCTTTCCCTAGAAAATTGTGCCAACGTCCCCCGTTTGCCACCTGTGGGCAAAGTTACTTGGGCACTGTCCAAATGGTGATCTCACTTGGCATTTCATGTATCCTAGACACTTTGAAGAATTTAGGGACTTTTTGAGTGTTTTCTCTAGTATCGGCCTCGTTAACCTATCACAGAAACCACAGGAAGCTGTTATCTTAATAGCTGTGGAGCTGTAGGTGGCTCCCATCAGTTGGTCATCAGAAGTGTCTCTTTTGTCACTTTTCCAACTCCACATATTCCAGAATGTAGAAAATAGATTAGACATGAGTTAACAATCACTGAAAAAACTTTTGTAGTAGTTCAGCATGAGCAAAATATTTTTGTGTTGATGAAACCGATGAATTCTGCATTCCAGTTCGACTTACATGTTACAATCCAATCCCATGTTATAATGGTGTAAGAATGCAGTTACAGGTAATCCTTGACCTACACCCTCAAAGGAGCCCAAAATTTCTGTTGCTAAACAAGACAGTTGTTGAGTCCCATTTTATGACCCTTTTCCCACAGTTGTTAAGTGAATCTGGCTTCCTCTATTTACTTTGCTTGTCTGAAGCTGGCTGGGAAGGTTACAAAAGGCAATCACATGACCCCAAGACACTGCAATTGTCATAAAAACATGCCAGTTGCTAAGCGCCTGAATTTTGATCACCTGACTATGGGGATGCTGCAACAGTGGGGAAAGTGGTCATAAATCACCTTTTTTCAGTGTGATTGTAACTTCAAACAGTCACTAAATGAAAACCAGAACTTTTCCTTTTGGGCCTAATGGAAAAAGAACTGGAGAAAAAACTTTGTTACCGTATATGTTGGCATCAGCAAGACTATTGTATGCACAAAAATAGGAGGACACTTCGATTGCTACTATGGACAAATGGTTGCAGAAGTTGGAGCTGGCTGAAATGGCAAAATTGAACACTTTGATTAAAGAAAAGAACGTAAGTACTTTGGTTTCCACATGGAGACCGCTTCTGAACTTCGTTCTTGAAGTGGAAAAGAATGAAACTTTGATTTTGGGTTTTACCAAGTAGATTGATAGATCTTTACAGAAATGGCTTGTTCATGTGATTATGAAAAAGCAAAAGGTTGTGACTTCATGTTAATGCCTTATTTTACTGCAACAGAGAGTCGCAAGTCAATGTTTCTTTTTCTTTTCTTATCCTTCCTCGTTTCTCTCCTCCCTTTTCCTCCCCACTGCTTTTCTATTTACTTTTGTATTTTACAACATTTTATAATTCAATAAAATGTTAAAACAGTAAACAGTCACTAAGTGAATGGTTGCAAGTCAAGGACTACCTCTATAGGCAGCTAATGAAACTGTAATAGTTCCATTAATTAGATAAACTTTTATCATTCAGGTAGAGCCGTCATTAGTCTAGAAGATCCAGATGCTATTCAGAAGTAGCTCAGACAGACAACCCCTAAATTCAATGAACTATAAGAAGGAAGAAGAGGTATAGCATAATCAGCCTTGCAAGGTTCTCCTCTTATAGCTAATTTCAATAAAAGTATAGTATAGCCTTTATTGTCATTGCACATCATGTATACAATGAAATTGGTTTTAGCTTCACTTAGCTTCACTGGTGCTAAGTTAATGAAGTAATTTTACCTTTCCCTCCTAAGTAGTTAAATTTCTTGGTCTGATCTTCCAAGTGGGGAGCCTGCTTCCTAAATCCTATACTGCAATACTGCTTAACTGATGGAATCCAGAGCATGCAATCTGGTCACCGCCAACAGATTCTGGATCAATTCTACAGTAGTTGATCTGAGTTTTAAACTATTATTTCATTTAATTCAACCGTATGAGCTTGTTTCAATTTCAAATCCAACCAGGGCCAACAGAGTCTATTTTGGAGACAGCGTGCGACAGTTAACGCGGGGCAAGAATTCCATTTGAAACACCCCCAAAGGCAGCATCTTTACGCCTTTAAAAACAATGATCAGAAAGGGTACACATGAGATTATTTGCTAAGTCAAACAAGGACGAAGAGGGAATGGCAGGAAAGGCACATTCCCACCACTTGCTCCTAGGACAGTACTTGGCATGGCCGTATGGTTTTGGCTGTAATACGCCAAAACTGTAAAGAATTTTAATTTGCTTTGGAATGAACATTATCGCTTAGTAGCTGTTGCTCCAACAAACCAAAGCAGCTCCTCATAAATTACAGGCAAGTGTGACTTGTTCCCCCTCTTAACAAGTTGAAGGCCATCGTTACGATCCTAGTCATAATTCTGGCTGTTTTGAAAGAATCAAGACACTCAAATTGATATATAATGTGCATTTCCCATGAAAAAATTTATCGCAATTATAAATTAGAGGGGAAAAAATACCAGGATGCCAATTCTATCCTAACTTACAGAAAACACACAGTAATAATAATATTAGCAATTTAAATCTGAAATATATCAAATGAAGCCCCTGACTAATAGACATCTATTACATCTTTTTAGAATTTCACTTGATTTGAGTAACCAAGTAATTCAAAAGTAAGTGCAAAATTTGGACCTAGACGAAGTTTGATGTAACACTATATTGGGTAAGACCTCAAAAATGTGATACACAGTGTTTTTTCACTGACTTAAGGATAGGATCTGGAAAATCATCAGTAGATTAGACCATCTTCTTCATAACTCATTCCTTCTTCCCCAATTTTCCAACTCCTCCAAAACCAATTTACTTCAAAACTTCAACTTACTCCTTCAAACCAATTACTTCAAAAACAAAAAGTACAGGTAATTGAGCCCAAAATTTCTGTTGGTTAGCGAGATTGTTAAGTGAGTTTTGCCCCATTTTACAATACTTCTCACCACAGTTAAGTGAATCACTTACTAACATCCACTCTCATAGGCAGATGAATTCATCTCTCTAATCTTTATTCATCTTATTTTACCACTAAATCTATCTGACAGCTCCTGCTCTTCTATTTGGAAACGTGCACTAAATGTTTGTTTTGGCTTTGCTTTTTATTTGGCATTAGCTCAAAGCCTATTTTTTCTATCAAATCTTTAGGACTACCATGTATTTCCCAATATTCTACTAAATTAAGAACTGTATCTGTCTCCATATTTTCACCTGTTCCACCTATTGTTCACCTTTTCTTCCTCTTCAGCTCACGTTTGCCTATGATAGTAAATCATACATATAGTACAATACATTCTTTCATGGGGTATCATTGTCCCATCATTCAGTATTCCTTATAATTCGCATTTCAAATCTACTTTAGTTCCCACTCTTGAAATAACTTCGTTGTAACAGTTTTAAGCTTTTTTGATTGGTTTTAAACGTATACATTGCAACACCGTATCTTTTCCCATTAAATTTGTTTAGTTTTTGGTTTAACACACAGATGTTAGAAAAGACAATTAAAAAAAAAAACACCAACCCCTCCTCGCTGACCATCTACATGTATGGACCGAATGTGATCTGCTAGATCCGGACTAGAGTTGAAGCAAGAGTGGCACTGGTCCCAGCAGCAATTATAAGCAATACTTTTTGCAGATGAAGTCGTCACTCCCTGTCCATTCATCATGACTGGAGTTGATCGTCCACTGGAAATTGTACTGTCTACATCCATTATGGTACTGCTTATGCTGCAAGAAGAGGGGAAAAATAATTAATATACTTTCAACAGAGGGACAATTTCATCAAATACGTGGTTAAATACATTTATATCTTGTCCAACCAGAGTGTTCAAAGCCACCAGGCTAAAAAACCAGACGATCATAAATTCTAGTCCTGCTTTAGGCATGATGTCACAGTTGGATGACTTGAGCCACTTGCTCTCTCTGAGCCCTAGGAAGAAGGAAGGGGCAAAAAAAGTTGCCAAGAAAACTACATGGCTCTCCAATGCACTCCTCCAAAAAGAGGCACAGAATTTTAATATTACTGACAAACTTTACAAAATAAATATTTATGAATCAATTATACTGATGTTATGTTTAAAGGAAGCAGCAACTCTCTCTTGGGGCCTTTAACTGGTCTAGAAGATTATTTAAATTCTTAGGTGCCAATGAAACTGAACAATTCCTAAAGTAAGTAGACAAGATAGTATTATTATGCTTCATTCCTATTCAATCTATGTTAGTGTTTACTCTATACAAGTAGGGTTTAATTTACCTTTAAAATCTACACTTTTACCTCATAATGACCAATTTTTCTCAGTAGCCTTTTACAATCCATCAAAAAATTACAGAAGTGCGTGTGGGAAAACCTTACCAAGCTTCTATATGAACATTTTATAGCTGGCCTGGTCCAGCAAGTTAATCACATGCTCCAAAGACCTAAAGACAGAATAAAGTAACAAACGACCTTACAGATCTCTGTAGCTAAAAGCCTTACAGTAGCAAAAAGCCAATGAAGCTACTCAAAACTCTCCAGGCACATGTAAACTTGAGGAATAATAGAAGTGCTTCTGAATTAAAATGCTTCCAACATTGGGAACACATAGGGGAGTGATAGACACCCAGAAATGTTGAGAGAGTGAGGTTTTCTCTATCTTGACTTAAATTATTAAAAGATATGCTAAGGTTCAAAGTTGAAGCATCATTCAACTGAAACAAGGATTCTAAAATAAGAGATGTAGATGTCCCAATGGACTTCCATTCTTTGATGGAATAAACTGTCCACTTCAACAGAAGTGGAGATATACACTGATGCTATTTATTTTATACTGGATAGCAATAGCAATAATACTTATTATATACTGCTTCATAGTGCTCTACAGCCCTCTCTACGCAGTTTACAGTGTCAGTATATTGCCCCAACAATCTAGGTCCTCATTTTACCTACTCAGAATCAAACTGCTGACAGTCGGCAGAATTAGCCTGTAATACTGCATTCTAACCACAGCACCATAATGGCTCTAGATTGCACTCTTGGTCTTCTACTGGATTTAATGATGTTAAAGACAGTACTATTTCATTTGCAATGCCCAATTTTTAATACTTTTTTTAAAAAAAAATATCCTTATGATCTTGCTATTCTAATTCTGGAAAAGAAATCATTAATTCTTGAAATATATGCATTACCTTTTTAGTAAAACTGTAAGTGAAATAGAAAGTTGTGTATTAATCATAATTACTAGCTGTCTGTTTTATCAGTATGAGATGTATCATATCTTTTGTAAAAATCAATTTTTCCTTTAACATCTCTTAAGCCCTTCTTTTAGCTGAACCTTTATGATCTTCAAATGTTTCTTTACGAAACTTCAAAGACCACAGAAATCACATTCAATTTTAACAATGTCAAGGTTTCTTTTGAGTTGAGCTTGATTGCTTATGGCTTCATGGAAATATCTGGGTAGTGTTCTTGGCAACAATTTAGAGTATTTTGCCACTGCCTCTTCATGCATCTCATAAACATATATGCACGCGTGTCTATTGGGGTATGTGGGGTTGGGATTTCCAGTCTAGGCTACAGCCCTGGTGTATTTTCTGGAGGTCTCACATCAAAGTATTAACCAGGGCCCAATCCTGTTATTACTTGATGGGGCTTTCCAATTTACAATCTTAGAAATTATTCCTGGAATTTGTGCAGCACATCTGAAGAATACTAGCCTCAGCCAAGGTTTTGGTAATTACTCAATAAGGTAAGACAGGAAGCTAAATTCTCATCACTCAGCAAAAAGTGCTAGGTGACCTTGGAGTGACTGTCAAGATTTTCTAATTCTTAACAAAGTTAAGATCTGAGAAGATCAAAGTTATAAGATCTGAGAAGATCTTATACACAATGATATGATGGCTACTAAAATGGAGGACTAATGAGAAGTTACTGCAACCTCCTTTCATTTTTGGTGTTCTGAAAGAACTACCAGACTGTAAATTCTCAAAAGCACATAATTTTCCTTTACATCTAGCTCTGAATCTTATACTCTGGAAATAGAAGTTAACATTCTCTATCAAAACTTGTAATAAGAAACATTCAGCCATAAAATATTTTACTATAACTTAAACCGATATGGAAGCAATAATGAAGGAAATAGCATTTGTCAGATCAGAGGCTCAGAACGTAGACAGGTTTAAAAGATTTCCAAATGCACTTTTCTTTGATTAGGACATCAGTTCAAAATACCATGCTGAACACATCTGAGACACATGTGTGCAATGCAGTAATAAATCAGCTGCAAAGAAAAACATCAATGTCTTTGCAGAATGAACACGGTAGTTTTGAGCCAAAATTGCCACTTCACTTCTAGTCCCCAAAAGATTCTCAGATTTATGTCAGGTTAGCCTTCTTGTTGCATATTCCTATTATATTCCATGCCAATGCAAACTTTCCCATCATTTCAGAAGCAAGATTTGGGGTTAAGACGGCTGCAGTGGAAGCAAAATGCAAATTGAGCTTCTCTCAACTAGTTGGGGGGAAAAAAAACCTTGGTCAGGATTGTCTGCCTAACAACTAATCCATCTGCTAATGAACATTCTTGCTTGCCAAATTGATCTTTGTGAATGCACCTCCCCCAAAAGCTGTGGGATGTACAAGCATGTCAAGCTGAAAACGAATTTCTGCATTCCAACTTCAGAACAAAAGTTGGCTGTCTGAGTGGCAGCATCTCAAGTTTTCCAGTCAAAGAAAGCAAACCTGAAATATGCCATTTTGCTCCTGGAACAGGCCTTTTCAAGTATTCTCCGCTTGAAAAAAAATGTGCATGTTCCAAGAGATTTGTTTTGAAGCTGGAAACTCTCCGAGGTACTTCAGGCTTTGTTCCAACAGAACATAGCCATCTTGATTATCGCACGTATCGTCATTTTGTTGTGAATTCAGAATTAGTTCCCCCTTCACGTATTCACCTTTTTTTTTTTTTAGCAAAGGGCAAAAGCAAAAATACATTTAATCGATTCATATCAAGAAAGCTGTCTTTGAATTTCATCCAATATTCAGTTTACAACAAATGGCTAAAAAAGATGAAAAAATTCTACAAGCACTGCGTAATTATTAATGGTATCTTTCTCACCTTATAAAGTATTTTATAAACTAGTATGCACCTATTTCCATTTAAACATGCATGTGCTCATATCTCCACTGTCTACTGTCTTCCTTGATCCCCATTTTCCATTTTCCTAATGCGTGTTTATCTAAACCTGGAAACTTTCAGGGGGAGTTCCCAACAGTTTTAGGTTTGCATTTTTGTATTGTGCCATGTTTTCTTTAAATGCTTGAAATAAGACTATTGCAATTCTTTTACGTTAAAAGACAACACAATAAATGTACTCTGCTCCAGATATGCTTTTCTGTCCTCCTAGGCTAGGGAGTCACTTTCATCATTACTGCTGAAAATTTCTTTTAGCAAATTTAATGAATAGTCCAGAAATCCACTTCAATAAAAACATCACAGCAAATTAAGCAGAATATACAGAAAATAATTTTGGCAGCCAATGGCTAAGATTGGTTACACAACATAGAGATGATTTAAACAATGTATAAATGTGCCCTAAAGAGTTTGATGAAGGCTACTGTCCTTCAGGAACAATTTAGTCCCCAAGGATTAGCAATTACATCAATGGTTATGGAATTCAGTATATCATACATACATACAACACAATCAATAGAAACATATTTCAGAGATACAAACCTTACACTAATTTACACAACACAGCATGCAAACCTGAGTCATGAATTCCACAATTCATGACTCAGCTCATATGCTGCTAATTCTAGAGCAGGGGTCACCAAACTTCAAAACTTGTGGACTTCATCTCCCAGAATTCCTCAGCCATAAGTCTTTTAAAGTTGCCAGATTTGGAGACCCCTGTTTTAGGGAACCAGGATTAGGAATCATAAAATAAGCTTGTCTTTCGGCAGATGTAACTGGGTTTTCATTGCTGCATGACAAATAGGTTTTTAATTTTGAAAAGTAAACATGAAATTATAAAATGTTTTTAAAGGTTTCCTCTTAACACTTGCTCCATTAATTCTAACATGGAAGCTAAAAAATTGATTTGTAAGCCACTAGAAAGCAATAAATCCAAGATCTTTATACGTACACATAATTCACCATGCTGGAAGTTTCTCATAAACTGTCAAAAAAGGAAGAAGTCTGTTAACTTGTCCAAAAAAAAAAAAAAAATCCTATAGACAAATCTATTTTCCAGAAATCTAGGAAAAATGAAAGTTTCTTGGAATAATTTATATTCCTACCTTTAGTAATTAAGACTGCTAAAAAATTTTTTTTAAAAAACCCAAATAACTAAATAAAATGCCATCCTGAGAATGAAAAAAAAAACCATATAATCTGAGTAATAAATATTTTTCTTTTAAAATGCACAGAGGGGCATCTCTATCAAATCTCAGAATATAGATGGTAGATTTTAGTAACAAGCCATTTAGCTAACACCAGCTATAAATTATATCCAACATTTTTAACTATAATAGGAAATACGCAGATGTATTGAAATGAGCATATGTTAATATAATCCAGATGCCTATGAAAACGCTAGAAATCTATGTTAATAGATTTCTAACCTATAAAAATCATCAAACTCTCCGTAATACACATAAAGCATAAAATGTCCATGGTGAAGAAACATTTACCATATGAACAATTTGAATCAAAAGAATTAGTGTTCTGAAGTTTTTTTGTTTATTTTTTTAA